TGTTCATTATTCCTCCCCTTTTGCACAGGAGCAAACTGAAGCCTGGGGAGGAAGTGCCTCTGCTAAGTCACATGGCAGGTGAGTAGAGAGCAAGGGTTTGCTCTCAGATTGCTGAACTTCCCAACCCCTATTCTTCCAAACCACAAATCTCTTAGGAGCAGGACTGTAAGGTCAAAAAGTATTACTAGCTTATGGCTCTAACTACATTCTTCCATGTTGCTTTCCAAAAACCTTGTGCTATTATATAAAAGCCCACTCCTTGAGTATACTATTTTCCCCATAATTTTGTCCAACTTCATTTTTTTTAAATTGATTTTTAGAGAGAGAGAGAGAGAGACATTGATTTGTTGTTCTACTTATTGATGCATTCATTTGTTTATTCTTGCATGTGCTCAGACTGGGGGTCAAACTCGCAACCTTGGCATGTTGGGAAAACACTGTTAACCAACTGAACTACCTGGTCAGGGCCTGACTCACTTTTTAAGCTAAGAAGCTCAGAGACCCACATCTTCTCTTTTTATTCCCTTATAAGTACTGCTTTTAGACCGAATCATCTTGAACTTGAATATTATCTGCCTAAAATGGAGCGCCAATTATATTATAGTCTGCCCTGAGCTCACCTAGTTCTGGGTTGTCTCCCCTATTCAAAGGTGAAGCACTTGCATTTTCCAGCTCTCCAAACCAGCAATAGAGAGAAATTACGCTTCTTTTTAAAAATGTATTATCACCCCCATTTCATCCCCTTCATCCCTCTGGAAAATGTGGCAAGGCATTAGTCTGTGCCAGTGAGAGACCAGGCACTCCATCTTCCTGTTTGCCTCGCTGCATTAATGCCAGTGCTAGGGTGACCTGTCTGGAGTAGAGAAGTGACCAATAAACATTAGGAAATGTGATTATAGGAGAGAGGTCACTGGAAACTTCCACAGAACTCAGCGACCATTTACACATTCCACTCTCTTCTTTTGACATTCAGGGATAAATTTAATGTTTCATTAAGTACATGGAAAAAGGGATCAGAGAGAAAACACAGGGTTTCCCTTTACTGGTTTCTCTCTGAAGGGCTGCAGAACACACTCAGTGGGTGAGGTTCCTTTAATTACTGACTTTTCCCATTATGCTTCAGTGACCAAACCATGACTTTGAGGCTTGCTCTTAGTGTTCCCCATTAGAATAATCTCACTTTCTGGCCCCATGATGCCCATGAGGGTTCTACACATGCACACATGGCTGCCATTGCTATAGCTCAGCCAAGGGTTAAATTGGTGTGTTATTATTGAGGTTTTTTCTTTCCTGCACCAGGCTCTTGTAAGCTTTAGAAATAAATGAAAATGGTTTATCTCTGGTTCAGAGAGGATTTTCCCCTGCAGCTGATTTTACTATAATATATAGCTTAATATAAAACCTCGCATTCTGAATGCACTTAGTCTCAAAGTGGATTAGGGCTGTTGGGTTTTGGGCATTCCCAAGGCCTGAGCTGCAGCACGTTGTGTTCACATTACCAGTTGCTTCTCCTGTAATAGAAAGACAGCCCATCTCAGTAGAAGACCCAGATCCCATCTTTAACTTCCATGGAGTGTGATGGAGATGATAACTGAGTGGCAAAACCACTGCCATTGTCAGGAAGCAAGGATGCATTCTCCTGTTGCTTCCTGTAGAAGTCAGAGATGCTGAAAGCCCAGAGTTCTATTCACACTGGTAACAATAACAACAATAATAACCGTCATACTTGTACCAATTGTTACCATTTTCCATGCCCTTCTTCTCCACAGACCTTAAAATAAATAAACCTGTATTTTAAGTTATTAAGTTGACCTCAGTGTTTACCCATCATTTTTTTTGCAAGTGGAAAGCTATTAAAATGATCAATGGAATTCACACATACAGCCTGTGTGGCAGCATGTGAGTGGGCTTTTGTAGTGCTTTGAGTGTGTGATGTGTCTGTACAGACATGCCTTGATACCCAATGGCCTTTATTACATTAGCGATGGATATGCGATGCCATACACACAACTGCAGACATAACAATACAGCCATGGGCTTTTCCTCGCACTTACTACATGTGAGGAGCCATGTTAAATGCTCTGTGTGTGTTACCTTGTTATTTCTCACAAGCCCATGCGAGGGGCACTGTGCTTATCAATCTGATTTTTCACATGGGTTAACTGAGCTACTGAGAGATTAATTGACTTGTTAATACATAGTAAATCCAAAATTTAAACCCAGACAGTTCAATTCCAGAACTTTAATTGATAATCATACTGTTTCCCTTAAGGAAATAAATGAATATGATAAGCTTAATATAATTAGAAAGTGTGCTATAAATGTCAAAGATATGCAAATATGTTTGCCAAGCTATGACAGGAATCCATTTGCTCAGCAATGTGTCTGCCCACACCTCATTTACACTGATCAAACAGGTCATGTGACAGATGTTAAGAATTCACATGATATTTTGTACGAGGCACGTGCAATAATTGTGTAGCATGGGTGTATGAATGAGTTATCAAATCAGGACAAACATTAAAGATCAAGATCATTCCAGAGCAGAGGGGACCAAGCTAACCGCAGGAGAACATGACCCCTGGCCGCCCACTGCTCAGTTTAAACCACAGCACAGCCGCTGACAGCTGAGACTTCAGGTGATCTTTCCAAGCCTCATTTTTGTCGCTTGAAAATGGGGATAACAACTAACTCATTAGATTGATTTAAAGATTAATTGAGATCATGCCCGATTCACAGTAAGTATACAGAAAATGTTAGTGTTATTCTGATTATATTTAGACATTCCTCTAATTCAAACAAAATTTTCTTCCTATCTTCAGCATAAAACCTGCATACAAAAGTTGCTCTTTGTAACATTTCCCCTCAGAAAACAAGCAAACTGTTCCTGAACTTGGGCCAAACACCCATATAAGGTACTTAGTGCCAATAAAATGGAAAACAAGTTACTCTGATGCTGTGCCTTAGCCCTGAGTGGACACAGTTAGTAAAACAGTAACAGGAAAGATGAAGTAGTTTAGCATTTACAAGTGAGTAGTGACCTCTGTAAATCTAAGACTGTTCTTTTAAATTTATTTTTTATTAGTTGACATACAATCTTATGTTAGTTTCAGGTCTACAATGTAGTGATACAACTGTTCTTAAAATACAGTTTATTTTTTAAAAAGCATATGACTATGTGTTTCTGGACTCAGCTCTTCCGCAATTAATGATTTAACTTCCTCTTTTAGCACAGAAAACAGGCTAACAAAGGTAGCCACAGAGCAGACACATCTTGTGCCTAGTTTTTTATCTAGAAGATGCAAGGTTGGCTTCCTCTAAGGTGTTTTTCCACTCTGAAACCGAAATGGAATGAACAGACATTTAGGGGAAATTAAATTGTAGCTTTACGTTGGCCTTATAATCAGGGCTGGCAGGCACCCGTGGGCGGGAGACTGTGGGAGGGAATAGCTCTTTTTCTGGAGTGCAGGGAGCACTAGGCCTGTTGGGAACTTGCTTACCTGGAGGTCTTTGAAAGAGGACAGAATGAAATCCCTTCTCTCAGGAATGGTTAAGCAGAGGCCCTCACTGATACGAGATAGAGGCTAGTTAAAATCCTGCTTTCTTAAGGGTTGATAGGTAAGCAGCTGTTTCCAAGTGCATTCTTATTCCTTCCTTTAATTGCTCCCCAAAGAGCCACAGTCCAAACACCCGTACCTAAGAAACCTGAGCTCTCGGTTACTTGGGAATGTACACCCTGGGCCAAGAGCATTCCAGTCCCCCATGTTTCTCAGGGGCCCTCTGCCAAGTTGGAGGCTGATGTGACAGGATAACCCCGGGGAGAGCAGGACCACAGTCACGGCTGCCCCGAGAACACCCAGGGCCCGGCAGATGATGGTGCATAGAAGGGCACGCACGCCTCCAGAGAGTTTACAGCGGGAAGGAGTTGCACCACCTGCCCCTTCAAACCTCCTGACCTGTCCTCCCATGCACCGTTCCACCACCCACCGTGTCCTTGTGCACTGCTGTTTACTGGGCTCACACCCATGGGCCCAGACATTTGGGCAGTGAGCTTGGACACAGGATGGCAAAGATAACTGGGACATAAGTCTTGCTTCGATGGCATGTGTAGTCTGAGAGGAGGTAGAAACTCACTCAGTAATTATGACACAAGATGAGAAATGAAATGTTGAAAAGCAGTGTGGGCAAACTGCTCTAAGACTTTTTTTTTTAAATCTTACTTATTGAACAGAAATCCTTAATTTTGGTGCAATCTGATTAGCCAATTTTTCTTACTGTGATTATTTTTGAATTTTTGTACAGGTTCATGTGAGCCAAGCTAACAACATATGTAGGGGGTCTCAATTGCTCCCTCCAAAACATTTTTATATCACTGAGGATTGATTGCAGTGAATAGGGTGGGCATCCTCAAAGGAAGAAAGGAAGGCCAGTCATGAAAGGACAAGGAGAAAAGCAAGGGTGTGTGTGCACTTGTTGCAGAACCTCGGAACCCCAGGAGTACTGCAGAACTTTAGACCTGGAGGTGCCCTGCGAAGTTGTTTGTTCCCAGTATGGATGTGAGAACGTGCCCAAAAGGTTCAGTCTCAGTTGATGGGGGCTCTCCGTTTGTTCTGGGTTAACCGTGTCTGGTCGCTGAAGGAAGTGGATATCTTTAAGAATACTGTGTGTGTGTGTGTGTGTGTGTGTGTGTGAGAGAGAGAGAGAGAGAGAGAGAGAGAGAGAGAGAGAGAGAGAGAGGAGAGAGCAAGAAGGAGAGGGAGAAAGAGGCAGGGAAGTAACCTGGACTTTCCATGTCCTCGAGGGCCCTGCCTGAAGGACACTGCACTGATGTGTGCCAACTGGTTGTACTTTGAGTGAAGCTGGGGAGATTTTATTGTAGTGGGGATGGCACCTAATGTCCTGGCTCCAAGGTCCAGAGATTCAAGAGTGAAGTTGTACTGAGTGAGATCATGTGAGCATGCCTTCAAGAACAGAGACTTTGCTCTGTCCAGCAAGATTTAAGCCATTGCCTTGCAACATCCTGGATGCAAGTTAGAGCTACCTTGGAAGCTAAAGTAGAACCTGATGGCCATGAAGAAGCCACCGTTAAAGGTATTTTAGTGATTGCTGAGCTAGTATTTCAAGCAAACCAACTCAGTGTCACCCGAGCTGCCCTCCTCCTAAGAGGCCGAGGTTGCCCTTTGTGCACTGGCAGGGCCTGCTGGGAGCGCTGTGTGGACAATCCTTAACAACAGGAGCTTCCAGCAGGCACCAGCACTTGCAGAGCCCCATTGACTCCCTCCGACCTATACAGGCTGACTTCATGACAGGTAAGGGGCATAGAGTCACGTGGGTGGAACTAGGAATTAGGACTACACTGACATTATTTATTGCAAATGAGAAACTGCTTAGATGGTGCCATAAAAAGTATTTCTAGCAAGTATTTCTGGCAAGCGAGTTCTGCTAAATAATTGAGATGATGTTTCTGTTTCAAATAGTATTTAGAATTCAGTAGAAACTCCTAAGAAAGTCGAAAACAGATTGAATTGAACAGGGAAACACAGTGCATCAGTTTGCAGAATTGTAATTCCAAATATTAACTTATTTATCAAATAGCAAATCAAATAAAATTCTTCACAAAAAGTGGCAGAGAGAACCAGTTTGAATGTGACTAAAAAATTATGTTTTACAGGAAGTTGAAATAGAGTAATACAGTGAAGTGGAGAAAACACTGGCTTGGGATTCAGAATACCTAGGTTTGAATCGCATCTTGATGCCTAAAGTTCGTAATCAATCTGGGCCTGTTTCCTCATCTCTGCAATGGGAAAAAACCCTTACCTCATAAGATTTTTGTGAGGCTTAAACGAGAAAATGCAGTGCGTGGCTGAAGAAATCTTAGGTTGACACTGACAATTTTTAGGACAATGGAACATTTCTAACCTATGCCTGATGGAAGCAGATTTTTGCGTTTGGTTCAAGTCCTCATCATTCTCTGTTAGCTTTGAAGGGAAAGGCTGAGAGCAGGGAAGCTGATTGTTGACAGGTATACTTTATTAAGCAGTGATGTTGAAAGTTGTGTATAAATCAAATAACACTTAAAATGCACTAGGGAAATTCCCCACATAAAGGAATTCTATGTGTGTAAAGCAAAGTCCTTTCCAAAAGCAAATAACCATTCTGTTGTAGCTTTTGTGCAAACCTACAAGTTGACAGGTTGGGAAGCTTTCTAGAGAGGTATGTGTGTTTCATGTAACTTCTTGCTCTGGGTGGGCTTATGAGGGAATTAAATGTGTAAAGAATGTTTTGGGGGGAAAAGAATGAGTGTTTGGACTCCTTGGTGCCATTTGTTCTTAAATTATTCTTTGCGGTGGAAATGAGGCAGGCTAGAAAAAAGGGAAAAATCCGAGGAGTGGAATGAGGAAGCAGGAACAGATGCCTCTTACTTGAGTCTCCCCCACCCCATTCCCCATCCCCCGTCACCTCCCAGCACCATCAGAGGGAAATACAGTTCAGGGGCTGGCTACCCCTGCGGTGTTCTGGTGGTATTGTTGGTCGGTGGTCTTGGAAGTCACAACAACAGGAGTCCCTCCCCCCGGAAGGCGGAGTCAGAATTTGGTGCCACAAACCTGAGGGACAACCCCTGGGCCCCGGGAAACACACACAGTCCCAAGAGCTAATTAACCATGGAAGAGGGCTGGGTCCACAGTCCTGTTCACTTCTTCCTCAGTGGCACTGGGCCTGGCTTCTTTTTTCTGTCTCTATTTGAATAAAACTTGCTTTATTCTCACTCCCATTTGTCCTTGAAATCTTTCCTGGCGAATCAAGAACCAGGTGGCCCCACACCGAAGGTCCCCAACCAGAAGCAGCCGGATAACAAAAATACTACTTCCAAAGCAGCGCTGGGGAGAATTTGACCAAAAGACAGTGTGGTTTACAGAAAGAAGTTTGAGCTCCAGCCTTACAACCTTGGTCCAAGATTTCCCCTTCTGGTGCCCCTGTTTCTCACCTGTGGACACTGGTGGGACAGGGCAGGGGAAGGATGGGCGTTTTACTCTGAGATTTCTTTCAGAACTCTGGTTCTGTCAGCTAAGGAAGGACTATTGCTCATAAAATTTTCCAACTCTCAGTCCTCCAAAAGCACCAGCTTACATCACTGGGCAGTTGAAGGTGAGGGAAATGAAGTGCTTTCTTTTTCCTAAAAATGCTTAATGTTTAGTGATATTGTTACAGAACAAACAAGGGGGGGCCTGGGACGATATACTATTATTGAAAGAAGGCCCCGGGTCCGTTATGTCCACCACCCTAGGAAAGACGTCTCTCAATGCCAGAGATTCGTGAAAAGGAAAGGAAATGTTTATTTAATGCTATACTAACTTAAAGTAGTGACCTAATGTCTTTATCAAAAATCCTAAAGTCCCTAAAAACACCCACAAACACACACAGTCCTTCCTTCCTTCCCCCCTTTGCCCAGTCCAGAGTACCGTATCTCAGGAAAGGAAATAGAAGTCCATGGCTCAGGCAGTCCTCTGGTTCTTAGTTAGTACTCCATCTTGACTGGGAGACCTCCCTGGGTTCCCGGCACCCTCGGCTGAGTCGCCAGGACCTCTGGTAAAACCAGGTGGTGGTTCCCCCTTCTAAAGCTGTGGGGGTCCCCACTCTGCCAGGCCGCGTGGTTCTCTCTCTCAGGGCTGTGGGAAGGGAGAGTCCCACTCTGTCCAGGCCGCGTGGTTCTCCCCCAATCGCTGCCGTGTCTGGGTTTAAATCCCCCGCGCCAATCTTCTTCTGCAGCCCCATTTCTGACTCCTCCTACACTTGGGCACACTTGCCCTCAATCTGCTGTCTTCTCCAGCTTTTCTGGTCGCCATTGTGGGTCTGGGCAGGTGTCACCCCATGTCCTGGAGCCAATCTTCTCCCAGCTCCCACGCAGGCGCTGTAACTCAGGGGACCTGCCTCCCAGGTCCCATCTTGGGGTGGAGGTCCCTTTCCATCCCCCTGGCCTTGAGCATGGCCATAGCTATTTAGCATATCTAAGTGACCAGCCAAAGTCTATAGGTATGCTAAATGACCATGCCATGGATTAGCTGCAAAGCTGCCCTGCATGTTCTTGCTCTGTGTGCCCCTTCCCCCAACTCACACCTGTAGGGGAAGGGGTGAAGACACCTTAAAATCTCCTGGACACTTTGAGATCTGGACCCCATTTCAAATGCCTATTTGGGGTCCCCCCTCTTGGCTGCACCCTGTAACAATATTTCATGTTTATTTGGGTGCTCAAAGTTATTCAACAAGGGTCTTCCTCAGAGTGTGACTTATTGAGATTAATTGAATAAAAATGTTCATACAGGCAAAGGAACAATCTATTTTAATAAATTCCTTTTGTAAAACGAATGATTTGTATTATATGATCATTCCAACTCATACATTTAAAAAATCTGCATTTTCATACACCAGGTTTCCTTAAAGCCAATTGCTTTTTTTTTTTTAAAGTATGTTTTATTGGCCCTGGCTGATGCAGCTCAATGGATTGAGTGCCGGCATGCAAACCAAAGGGTTGCTGGTTCGATTCCCAGTCAGAGCACATGCCTGAGTTGTGGGCCAGGCTCCCAGTGGGGGGGACACATGTGAGAAGCAACCACACATTAATGTTTCTCTCCCTCTCTTTTTCCCTCCCTTCCCCTCTCTCTCAAAATAAATAAATGCAATCTTTAAAAATAAATAAATAAAGTATATTTTATTGATTATGCTATTACAGTTGTCCCATTTTTTTCTCCCTTTTATTCCTCTTGCCCTGCACGCCCCCACCAGCATTTCCTACCCGACTTAGTTCATGTCCATGGGTCGTACATATAAGTTCTTTGGCTTCTCCATTTCCTACACTACTCTTAACTTCCCCCATCTATTTTATACTTACCAATTATGCTTCTTAATCCCTGTACCTTCCCCCCTTCTCCCCCCACCCCCTCCCACTGATAATCCTCATATAACCTCCATTTCTGTGATTCTGTTCCTGTTCTAGTTGTTTTTTTAGTTTGCTTTTGTTTTTAGGCTCAGTTGTTGATAGTTGTGAGTTTGTTGTCATTTTACTGTTTGTAGTTGTGATCTTCTTTTTCTTAAATAAGTCCTTTTAACATATCATATAGTAATGGCTTGGTGATGATGAACTCCTCTAACTTGACCTTATCTGGGGAACACTTTATCTGCCCTTCCATTCTAAATGATAGCTTTGCTGGATAGAGTAATCTTGGATGTAGGTCTTTGCCTTTCATGACTTGGAATACTTCTTTCCAGTTCCTTCTTGCCTGCAAGATTTCTTTTGTGAAATTAGCTAATAGTCTTATGAGAACTCCTTTGTAGGTAACTCTCTCCTTTCCTCTTGCTGATGTTAAGATTCTCTCCTTATCTTTAATCTTGGGTAGTGTAATTATGATGTGTCTTGCTGTGTTCCTTTTCGGATCCAACTTCTTTGGGACTCTCTGGGCTTCCTGGACTTGCATTTCTAGTACCTTCACCAGACTGGGGAAGTTTTCCTTCATTATTTTTTCAAATAAGTTTTCGATTTCTTGCTCTTCCTCTTCTTCTTCTGGCATACCTATGATACAGATATTGGAACATTTAAAGCTATCCCAGTTTCCTAAGCTTCTCCTCATTTTTTTGAATTCCTGTTTCTTCGTTCTGTTCTGGTTAAATGTTTATTTTTTCCTTCTGTTCCAAATCTTTGATTTGAATCCTGGCTTCCTTCCCTTCACCTGTTGGTTCCCTGTATATTTTTCTTTATTTCACTTTGCATAGCCTTCAGTTCTTCTTCTATTTTGCAACCATACTCAACCATTTCTGTGAGCATCCTGATTACCAGTGTTTTGAACTCTGCATCAGATAGGTTGGCTATGTCCTCATCACTTAGTTCTTTTTCTGGAATTTTGATCTGTTCTTTTATTTGGGCCATATTTCTTTGTCTCAGCATACCTATTATGTTGCAAGGGGCAGAGCCTTAGGTATTTTGCAGGGTGGGGCAACCCTCTTTGCTGTATTGTGGTGCTGTCTGTTGGGGAGGGGTCAGAGAGGGAACAATACCATTTGCTCGGCTCTCATCCCACATCAATTCACTTCCCTTGCTCCCCACAATCAGACTGTGCCTTTTCAGGTGCTGATTCCTAGGTGGGTAGACTTGTGTACATTCTAGGACCCTGTGGGCCTCACAAGAAGACTCTCCTATGGGTCTGGAAGTTTCTCCCACTGCCGCATCCCTCACAGATTTTTACAGTCAGAAGTTTTGAGGCTTTAGTTTCTCACACTGGAACCCTGGATTCTGTGGTTTGTCTCACTACCCAGTTGT